ATATGACTACACCCATCAAGCAGTGCTACCCGATCGCCTAAGCAATCTTTATGTAACACAATCTCTTCAACAACCTTTCTATCCTTTGTTTTTGAAGACTTGTTTGACTTCCATTTTTGCATTGTAAACGTTCTAATTAAAGCACTTTTGTTTTCATAAAGACAACTCAAAGTTTAATCAGAGGTGGCAAAGCGAGTCATGCGAAGTTGTGGAATTGGTGTGAAGTTTTGTAATAGAGGAATTGAAGAAGACCTAGGATAAATGTTGGTAGTGACTCTTTGATCATTAGGATTAAAGGATTGTTTGTTCAAGAAAGGGAATTTTATTTTCAAAGTCGTCTAGCATGAGACCAAAATGACCTATGCAATGGGTCGTATATGGTGTCCAATATAGCCTTTTTCTCTTCACAATCAATTGATCACCAGCAACTTCGTAGTTGGTGGCATTGTATGTCACAATGTGAATGACGTTTTCTTTGCCCACGTCTTCAATGACCTCATACATCATTTTAAAGAGCTCGTCAGCTGATTTGTTTATTTTAGAAGCATGAAGCAATTTCAAGAAAACTATCCCCTTTGGACTGTTAACTAGAAAATCTATCAGTGTTCTTTTTTTTTTGTCTGTCCAACTATCGCTCGTTATAGTGCACCTTATTTTCTTCCATTTGCTTCTATGTTCATTCACAATGTCTTGTTTCACATACTTCGCTCTAATTTCATGATATGACCACGGCTTGAATCTAGGTCCATGTCTTGCAATCAAATCACACAATACAAAATTTCTCTCTTCTGAATGTGATGAATGGTCTGACATTTTTGAAATAAAACCTAGAAATTGCTGGACATGCATCCTCTCTCAAACTTTTCTTATATCTACTATTAATAGTGGCTTGAGTAGTCATCTTTTTTGATAAAAAAGGTTAGATCCACCCCAACCTCTTCACTGTTTTTTATGACCAAAATATTCAGAATCATCATCATTCTCTTTCTGTGTTCGCATCTTCTCTTTAGAAGTAAACACAATGTCCCACATTTCTTGGCTTAGCTTATTCGTAACACTTTTGCAAGCACCCGCATTTTTTTTGCGTCCTAGCCAAGTGATGCGTCATCCGGAAAGCCCCGCATGTTATTATTTTTCTACAATAGTTGCATTGCAGCTTTCTATTACTTGCAGAAACTGCTTTACAATGTTCCCAAGCCACATTAGTTTTCTGTCCCGGAGCATTTCATGCTACTGGTTGGTAAAAGCCAAAAGGCACTGCTCAAGAGGGGATTGACATGATAATCTACATAGAAGTGAAAGATAACGGATATATAAATGGAGGAAAAGAGGTGGGAATCAATGTACTGTAAAATACTAAAGTTGTAGGAAAAAAGCTCAAGAAAAAATGTATATCTAGGCCACTGGGCAAAAAGGGCGATAACTAGAAGCAAAGTTGTAGAGGAGAAGTTGGCAGAAACAAAGCTGAATTAGCAAGGCCTGAAGCAAATTGCAAGTCTTGTAACTGCCAGACTCTCAGCGCAATCAGAAAATAAAAGGCTTTGTATGTATTTGTGTGAGTGAAAATCTATTTATACAGAGGAAAGTCATTTGGGAAGAGTCGATTGAGTAAAAACTCAAAAGTTGTTTGGAATTACCCGCATGTGAAAGTTGTTTCCATCAATCGCGATCTTAGCCGATCCCACAATCTCACTGTCCAACTCGTTGATTCGGATGATTCATGATTCACATGGATTCTCAATCTTCCTCGCGTTCCTTTCTACCTTTTCCGTATCAACATGATAGATGTGATTTTACTAGTCCTTCCATCCTTAAACATTTTTGTCACTTTCCTTCTTGGTCATCCTTAAACTTCCTTGCCATTTCCATAAATGGCAAATAGATGAGTAGTAAAAGTCACATTTTCCCTTGAATTCTATCGTCTCTCCATTTGGTCCTCCTCGCCATTTTTTCTCCCATTCTCTCTTCCCCTCCATCTTCTGTTCAATTCTCTTTTACTCTTCGTTTTCTCTCCAGTTTTCTCTATTCTCCCTTCGTCTCTCCATTTGCCTCTTCCTCTTCTTTGATGGTATGACGTGGCAAGGGGGCGTTCCCCCCAGAGATTCATCAACAGATCCAAGCGGAGAGAGCTTCAGCAACAGTAAATGAGCTCCAATGAAGATTGTTGACCTCTAGGCTCCGGTGGGATCTCAAAACTGGGCTCTCACAAAGCACATGCACAAATCCGTCTAAAATCCTAGGATCCAAAGTGTTAAAATCTGGTGGCTATGAAGTAATTTAAGGATCCAAAGCTAACTTTTGGAAATGAAGTTAAATTGTTTGATATTCAAATGGTTGTGCAGATGAAGTACAAGAGGCATTCTTTGAAAGTTTGCATAATTTTTACACTGCACTAACACTATGTCTGGTTCAAGGAATTTGAAAGGAAAAAAAAGAAAATAGTTTTCCCTCATTTTCCTCACCAAAATGGGAGGAATTTGGTTTTCCCTCCCCTTAGTGTTTTTTGCTTTCTCATTTTCTTTTCCTTCCACTTTTCTCTTCTTTTCCTCTCTAACCAAACAAGAAAAATGTTTTCTTTCTCATTTTCTTTTCCTTTCCCTCTCAAATTCCTTGAACCAAACATAGCGTAAAAATGAGCCCGGTTCAAATCAGGAAGACTGTTTTAGGACCGAGGAAGTAATTAATTAAGAGAAGTAATTTACCTTATATATTTAGTATACTCACTGTTTTTTAGAACTCTCACAAGTTTCATAAACATAAGGGTCAAGAGAAAACACTCAATATATTTCAAATTCTAGATGTGTTACAATGGAAATGAAGCGCCTTTTTATAGGCTAAGTAGGAAACCCTAATTAATGAAGATAATTAGTAACACAAAAATCAAATTAAATCCTATCAAATATTCTTGATTTGTCTTTCAAGATATGTGTCGTCTTTATTTCATGCAATGCCATGCCCATGCATATAAAATCACACGAAATATCCCATCTTGTTCTTTAATGACCATAAAATGACAATTAATTATAAAAAAATATATGAATGTTTCCTTTAGCTTCTTACAACCACCATAATCTTGAAAATCCTTCAAAATATCCCATAATATTATTTCTGAAGATTTGGAAGCGACAAATCTACTTCAGATCCTTATTTAATTGTTCAAAAGCTACAGTTTTAGGTCGCCGGCCGCCGGTCGCGTGTCACTACAGTCAGATGACACCTTATGGTGCGATGACATGCTTCGGTCAGATGACGCAAAGCGCCGCCTGCCGTCGCCAGTCGTAGGTCGCCGGCCGCCGGTCTCCGGTCGCTGCCGCCACCGGTCTTTGGTCGCCGCCGCCGCCATACACCGGTCCCCGTTGACCGGTGGTTTACTGGTGTTGCTATTTTATTTTTAATTAATTTTTTAATTTTCAAAATTAAAAAAAATGTGAGTTTTGGGGTTCAAAGTGGTGAGCTTTGCTTTATTTCCAGTTGAGCTTTGCATTGTCTATTGGTGAGCTTTGTAGTGTAGTGTGGTGAGCTTTGCGTCATCTGACCGAAGCATGTCATCGCACCGTAAGGTGTCATCTCACTGGAGTCAATCCCATATATATATATATATATATATATATATATATATATATATATATATATATATATATATATATATGGTGCACGGTGAAAGAAATGAAAATGCATATGATCCTTTAGATTTAAGATCTAATGGCTATTTAAAACAAAAAATTCTGAAAAAAATGAAATAATTGTGGTGGCAATTTTGTAAATAAATTGAACTTTCCGAAATTGTACTACAAGTGTAAAATGCATCGCGACAGTCTGAAAATGCACCATTCTCATATTTGCACAGTAAGGATATTCACACCTGACCAACCCATATATGAAGGTACATTGGTGCCTCGCCTTGGCGCCTTACAAACTATGGTCTCCTCTATGTTTTTCCTTGTCTTCTTCTACGTCACTGTTTGTCCTTGGCGAGATCCGTGACCAACAACCTGAACTAACCCATACACTGCATCATTGGGCCAAATGTGCATAGACTGCGTTCTGAAATTCCTCCACTTTCACACTTCAAATCTGAATTGTCATGCAAAGGACATTTTTGGTACCTTTTTAGCAAACAAACCCTTGCAAATCAATACTTCAGCTGGTTAGAACGTGACGTGGAATAAAAAGAGAAAAATTCGGACAAGGAAGCAGGAGAGAAAAAGGGGCAATGAAAAGGACACATGTAGAAGCAGATAATTCTTTATTCATTAATCTGAGAAAAACCCTCAGTACATCAGACAAATGCAAAAAAACAGAATTTCTAATTGACACATGGGTGATGGGTCATTACAGTTTTCACTCCAAATGATCTTCGCTCTCCTGTATGCTACAACATTTGGTGGTGATTGTAGTAGGATAAACACTTGGAGTTTTGGAGAGATGGGTATAGACGTTATAAACTGGAGAGAAAGAACTTCAGGAATTGTGTGATAAATGAACTCGAAATGTGTTAAAACGAGCTAATATACTGTCGATTTTATCAAGTAGGCTTTGCTATTAACATTTCTTATTTCACAAATGGAAAATAGTTGGTTGGCCTGGATGTCAAGATACACGTTCTTATTAAGGAGAAGCAAATTGTTCTATCACTAATTCTGAGTACAACTGTACAAGGTAACTGAACAGTAGCCTAGTGATGTCATATTAACAGGCCGATTCTGCAAGCCATCTAATTTTCAAGTTGTTTAGATGTCTCTTGATCATGTTTTCCCTCTCGCAGTTACTGTCACCACAGTTTGTTCTGCCTATACGGGAAATAAACTAATGTATAAATCTCTCTCTGCATGCTGGTTACAGAAAATGGCCTAATTTTTGACATTGTAAAAAACTACCACTATCTGCTTTCAAAATTGACACGGAAGTTTCCATGTCATTTGGCATCCTTTTTTTTAAAGTAAAGGACACTTTCCTTTGTACATAACCATGCTTTACCTTGGAATTCTTGATTTAAATAGCAGGTGAGAGAGAATAATGTTAGCGGCAATGGTGCTGTGGGAAAGCCTGCTTCTACCCATTTTACGCGGATTTGTACGGATGGGAAGCAAAGTATTGTACTCTGCCAACCAATCACTGGAAGGACACATCAGGTATTCTATTCAGTATTACCATATTGTGTTATCCACGATGGCACACTAATCCAGTGAATTTCATATGCTCTCTACTTTGTGAGGATTAATGTATAATATGTTGAATATAACTATTCTCATTGATAGAACATTTACATGTGACTACAATATTTCTAAAGATTATTAGAAAGCTTATTTGGAAAAAAATGAGCCCAACCCCAATTTGAATGGGAAATAAATCTAGATAGATTGTGAATCCATAATGTTTCACAAACTAAGACTACTACATTTCTACACTTGAACACTAGTAAATGGCAGTACTCTCCAAGCTGCAAAGTAAACTAGAGCATGAAGCTAAATACTGAACACCAGAGAAACTTGAACTAGGACATCTAAATACTCTTGAACTGATATTCTTTTAAACACAGTTAATGTTGAAGCATTTGAGAGCTGAACTTTATCTTCAACTCATTAAATTAAGTTTCACTTAACCTTACTGAGTTCTACATTACTTCACGAACTCTACTGAGCTCTAATTTACTTTTAAAAAAACTCCACTGAATTTTACTCTAATACCAAACTTTATGGTGCTCTACTTTGATTTGACACTTTTGACTCCATTGCATCACATTTTGACGGCCAACTTCTCGAATCCACTGATCAAAAAATTTGAAAAGTGCATCACCGTTCTTCTTATAAGAAGAAGCATCTATTGCTCTTATAAAAACGCTGTCTTTGCTAGAATTGACACAAAAGTTCACAAGAGTACGATGTCTTTTATCAGCCCAACCATCTGACATGATAGTACATTCATTCATTGCCCTTATTTTTGTGTTCGTTTATCACATCCTTGGTTTTCTCCACTACTTTGCGCAAGAATATTTCTCTGACCCAAACCTGCGAATCTTTTCTAATGTTTCTTTGAACAATGGATCTCAAACCACATTAAATGGGATGCAATTTCTATACATCCACAAAGATAAGCTTTGAGCATGTTCATCTCTTTCTTTGCTTTTCATCTTGCACGGAATAGTTGTTTGCACCACCAACGCCTTGTGTTTTTTTAGTTGGATATGAACAAACTTGTCCATTGGGCCACTGCCCCCCACAGCATTTCAGGGATTGTAGGACATTTTCTTGTGTTATGATGCCCCCCCTAACAAATTCTGTTTAAATCTTGTAATCCCACCTGTACGTATATGGCCACAAAGTTTGCATACCAAGTCATTATTTGTGTTTGGTTTCAGCTTTGTGCAGTTTTCCCTGGCCAGAGTGCATGCAATTCTTGAAGAAATAGTAAAGCAGATTACTTACCGTGCCCTGGGGTTGTTGGTCGGAGGTCGCAGCTAGGCTGTCGCAGGGTGCAGAGTCGTTTGACTAGGGTTGAGTCTCGTAATACGCAGGTGGTGATGGTGACTCTTCTGTTACTCTCGATTGTAAAAGAAGAAGAAAATTCGCGATGTGGACTCTTGTACAAAGACAAATGCGTGTGATTGGAAAGAGTGACGGGAGAGTGAGAGGGTTCATTTGAATAAAAGATTTTTTTAAGCTGGGCCGAAACATATTCGGCTTGAACCATTTGGGCCAAAAAAATAAAATGCAATGGCACATATATGGTGATGGTGAACAAATGGCATTGCCATGGGATGATCGATTGCCTGAACCAGATTTGTGGCATTTGGAAGCCAAAACGCCAATGGCAATAAATGGTGCGCGCCATTTGCGCCTTTGATAAGTCCGAGTCGAACTAGGCATGTTTTTTTTTTGAACGGATGGGGGTTTCTATCAAGAGTCATTATTGACAATGATTTAGATTCACCCAAATAATGACTAAATCAAAATGGTTTATTAAACTTCTCTTGCTTCGTACTTTCTATGGAGTTTTGGGCAATAAATGAAGCAATGCATCAAGGGTCTAATGAAAACAGCCTCTCTTCAGGATTTGTACATCTTGATCTGCAGGTCCCAATGGTGTTGGGATCATATTGGATTTGTTGTCGTTGTTGTGGTAGGGGAATTCTATGATTTCTGACTTGCGGAAACCATTGGGGTCTGTACATAAGTGTCATAATCAGAGAGTGCTTTAAATGAAACTTCCTATCACGAAAAGTGAAACTGCCAAACTAGAAGAAAGCATGTTTTTTATGAAAAATCAAATGCTTTCTATCTGTTTGACGATGAATTGGTTGCAAACTGATGAGGTTTACAGAAACAATATCATTCAATATTAGATTCGAAGCACTAAACAATTCAATATGAAATTGAAACCTTCCTTAAGCAAAAAAATGATATATATATATATATATATATATATATATATATATTCCTTTATGTTCTGTGTTTAATTAGTACGGACTACAGAGTAGATAGTAATCACTAATGAGCAGTTATGTGCATTCACACCTCATGGACTTACTGCGTGTTTCATTCCCTTGATCTGATATACAAGAAATTTACCTTACCCTGTACCTCTTATTGTATTGCAGTAGTTTCATTTCTGAGTTTTTTGTTCCAACACTTTTCATGTGATTTATGGTGCAGATTGTATGATGTTATATATTTTACCTCTTTTGCAAACTAAATTCTTATGACTATTAGCAATGTGATAGATACGTGTGCATCTACAATATATTGGGCATCCAATAGCTAATGATACACTCTATCTCTCCGAGTGCATTCCTCGTTCCAAAGCTGGAACAAGTGCAGACAGAGCTGCTAATAAGTCAAGCCATGTTCTAAATCCCAAAAATTTTGGAAGTGGTTCTGCTGCTAATTCGGGAAATGAAGAATTCAGTAATGACCCGATGTGTACAAATTGCCCAAATCTGGCCCCCAAAGGGTAAGAATTTTTAGTTTGGCGTAAATAAGCTTGTAGTAATTTGTTCCCAATATCTTATCCCTTATACGTATCTCTATGTGAGCATTTGAGAGAGAAAACCGAATGAAAAGAATATGTTATCATATACTCCCTCTGCCCCTCAATGACGCTTTCCTTTTCCCCCCCCCTAAATAAAATTTACATTTTACACCTCTTCTATTTTCTTTTCAGGGAAGCATTATTTGGCTCATGATATTTCTATTTCTTCAAAACAATTCCAACCACACTTTTCAATTTTCCACATTTTTCTTGAATTTATTAAGGCCCCGTTTGGTACAAGAAATTCAAATTATGAAATTGGAATTGAGAATTTTAATTCCAATTCTGGTGTTTGGTAGCACAAAAATTATGTGGATTTGGAATTAACAGTGCAAAAAGTGAACTGGAATTGGCGAATTCAATTCTATGGAATTGAATCTCATAAAATTTCAATTCCAATTCAATTCCAATTCCATCAATTCCGTATCCCAAACGGACCCTAAAGGAAAAAAGTTAACTTCATTGCACGGCGTATGGAGTATTATAAGTCAACGCTGTATCGGATGTAAAGTTGTAGAGCAATACACTAGGAAATATATATCATTATAGTTTTCAATATATTGTAGGATTAAAATGATGGCTAGTTTATAGTATAATAGATATATAATTAAAGCATCTCAAAATTATATTGTGATTGTAATATTTTATTATTTATTTATATGAGGCTTAGGGGCTGTTTGTTTCAGCCTCTTAATGGTTTAGATGTCTGAATGGTTCAGCACTTAATGGTTCAGATTGTTTGTTTCAGCCTCTTAATGGTTCAGATGTCTGAATGGTTAAGAGATTTGCCTCTGAATGGTTAAGTATTATACAGAGTCTGAATGGTTAAGACCTCTTATCTGAATTGCTCAGACATTTGCCTCTGAATAGTTAAGCAATATACTAGCTCTTAATGGTTCAGACCTCTTACTGGTTCAGCACTTAATGGTTCAGACCTCTTACTGGTTCAGCACTTACCTATTCAGAAGTTGCCAAACAGCCCCTTAATCATATACACTTTACTCACCCCACTAATCAACAATTCAATAACATGGAGCATTCATAACTTCTTTACTTTATACGGTATGTGAGCCAACAGTCCATAGTGACCAATAACGAAACATGTCCAGGATTGTTATTTTTTTTTATACAGCAAAGGGGAGGACGTTTGAACTTCGAATTCTTGTGATGTGATGTGTGCATATACACACCTTCATTTATTAATATATCAGTTAATAATAATGTTCCTACTTTCCTTATTTGTTAAGAGTAGAAGCTGCTTTCATTTAATATCCCCAATTCCTCAAACTCCATATTACAATTGCATTTTTGAAAATCTAAAACAACATATATATCACTACGTAGCTTGTCATTTTAGTAAATAAAATTCTTGTCTGGTCAGAGGGAGTATGAAACTCTTCAGATCGAAATTGGCCTCTGAATTTGCTCTGGTTTTGGTTTCATAGGATCTGTTTAGAATTTATGCACGGTTTTAAAATGCAGGTATGATGGTTCGGAAGAGGGTATATGGCTGCATTGTGTTAAGTACTCTGGACCAGATTGGACATACGAATGCCCGTATCCGGTTTGGGCATACTTAAGTTAACCTCTTTTGAATCTTCTTTGCTATTTATTGGATGTAAGACATTCCTGTGAAGTTTTTAGCTGCCATATCGTCCTTATTCCCATTAGTTTTAGAGTTGTTTTGCATTGTTCTCAAGATTTGCTCTATAAAAGTAATCTGTGCTTCACTTCCATTGCATGTTTTATGCACTCATCTTTGTGCCTGTTTGTTTGGATAAGATATAGGGCAGGGCAGAGTTTGGGCAAGATTTTGGGACAAGTTTTTTTTTTTCAAAATTCATTTACGAACAATTTTGAATCCTTATCTACCCAATCAACAGCAATTAATTTTGTTTGTGTTTTTGAAGAAAGCCATGTTTGACAAGTGATGCTTTCGTGGTACCAAGGTCCACAATTAAAATATGAATTTTTTCACATCTTTCATGGACTTGCATGTTGATATTTTCTTTTTTTTAAAAAGCTCATTTTTTTATACTACAGATGCATTAACATCAATAAAATAAACATGAATCTTAGGCCCACGGAAAAATTTGTCTTGTTTTTTAGGTGACCTTTTTGGTTCATCCACTGCTTTGTGAGTAATTTATTTTTGGTTAACGAATAAGTTCTTTTATGTGTAATGACAATGTATGAAGTGAATGTGATTATTGAGAAAACACGTTTCATTTTAATGTGTGTTTTGGTTGATGAGAAAATATTTTCCTAGAAGAATATCTTCCAAAGGAAAATAATTTCTTAGGAAAATTATTTTTCAATAATATTTTCTCGTTGTTTCATGAGAAGGAGAATATTTTTTAAGAAAATTAGTTATTGTTAATGATATTTAAAAATTAATATTGAAAAAAAATGTTTTGAGATAATTAAATACATCAGTAATATTTTGGTAGCATAAGGGAAAATGCTTGATGAATGGCTGGGGTGGATAGGGCGAGGTGTTGTGGGCGTGGACGAGAGGGTGAGTTAGGAGGGGGGGGGGGGGATGAGGGTGGTGGTGTTAGTTCCATGTGGTGCTTAGTTGTTGGCATCATGTTTTGATATAAGTAATGTTAAGGATATACCAAAAGTGTACTCCTTTTGTATACTACTGTTGGAAATGAAAGGATCAAATTGTATTAACTAACTCAAATTGTGTATTACATGGTTAAGTCTTATATATGGAAAATGAAAAACAAGTAACAACCAAAAATATCTTCCTAACTAACTAACAAACTATGTAACTAATCAACTAAACAAATGCTAAATGGTTGATTACACCAACACCCCCCCTCAAGTTGAAGGTTGGAACAACTTTAACTTGCAATGGAATAAAATTTGTGTTGACTTCAATGTGGATGTAGATGAAAAACCCGTTGGCCAAAACAGCAAGCTTCTGCTTCTGCTCGACCACAACTACAGTTTTTGCAAGCTTTCCTAGTGGTCCCTACTTCACAATCAACGCTAAAACTCGAACTCGACCCAGTGAAGTACATTTCAGAGCCAAGTCCCCAAGTTGTGTCCCCCGGCTATTTCTAGGAAAGATGATATCCACGCCTCTTGAAAACCCAGCCAAATTCTTAATTGCATCCATAGCTGCTGTTGCAACTTGCTCATCCCCATCAATGAGGCAAGTAAGCAATAAAGGATATACATCATGCTGAAGAATGAGATGTGTGCCAGTAGTTGCATCAGCATTATCCAAAAGGCGAGCCACTGTGATACATGCTAAATGCCTAACATTCTGAGATGGTGCCCCCAGACCAACGACAACGAAAGGCATGAAAGTTGGGATCAGAGATGCTCCATATTTGGTCCTGAAAACCCTTTCCAGACAATCAACCAAAGCTTTCTCCAGGGCGGGATAATCGGATTTCGTTTGCAAGGCATTGATAATGGCAGGAAGAGGGAAGAAGCAAAGGAATTCTCGAGCAGAAGCATCAGAATTCGGACCGGGATGATAAGCGAACTCAGTAGCAGCTTGCAGTAGCTGAGCTACATCGGCAGAGCATTCTTCTTCCATGGCGGTTTCTGGAAGCTGATTAAAATGACGGCAATATATGACATCTGTAGGCAGTCCCTAGACATTGAGAGGCCAAACAGCAACCTGAATCATTTCATATTGCAAATCATCTCTTCATTGACATTGGGTTTGCAAGCTACATAACAGTGGAGAGATTTTTTTTTCCATAATTTCAGGCTTGGCAACTTAAGAAATCTGAAGGACTTTGGTTCTGAAATTGAGAAGCACGACCAATGATGGCTGCCATGATTCACCAAAATGAACAGAAAAATGAACCATACACAACCGATGGTGAAGATGAGATGACAAATCAATTTATGAATTCACACGAAAACATCAAAGGATGAAATGAAATCAATTGACAAAAGCAATTGATGAAATCAACCGAAAACCGGATGATGATGATAAAATTGAAACTCGATCAAAACGATTCCTAGGGACCACTAGGAAAGCTTGCAAAAACTGTAGTTGTGGTCGAGCAGAAGCAGAAGCTGGTGTTATGATCGAGCAAAAACTCGATCACTTGTAAAGACTAGTAGTTGTTGGTGTAATCAACCATATCCCTATATATTCTACTATTCTCCGCCGCTGGGTAGTCGCCGCTGCTGACCAAGAAAGAGAATATCAATACAAAGTATATATGTTCCTTTTAATTATATGCTAAAACGAAGGAAGAAGGCAATAAAAGTATGCGCTGCAAATTCCTTTTGAACAAAAAAGTACTGTACACGGAGTATAGAAATTGTTGGAATATTGGAATATTAATATTGCTCATTAAATTATGAAGTACATGATAGAGTATATATAGGAGGGACTCCTAACACAACTAGGAATAGAGAATGGAAACTAACTAACATACAACATCTACCACAAATAGGATTAGGAAACTGACTAATAATGAAACACTACCATAACCAATACTACAAGAAGTACTATTAGTATTATTGTCTAACATCCCCCCTCAAGCTGAACTCTGGCTGAAGCAAGAGGAAGCTTGGACACTAGCTGGAAACTAGAAACTTAAGAAGAGATAAGTCTGACATGCGCCGGTGGCTGCTGACGTCGTTGAAGAAGAGAGAAGCCTGACGTGCGCCGCTGGCTGCTGATGTCGTTGGAAAAGAGAGAAGTTTGACGTGCACTGGTAGCTGCTAACGTCGTTGGAGAAGAGAGAAGGTTGACGTGCGCTTGTAGCTGCTGACGTCGAAGAAGAATAGAGAAAGCTACTTGAGGTGCCTGTTTGACTGAAGATCCTTGACATTTTTTGTCTTTTTCTTGGATCCGGGCAATACCCTATTTCCTTCTTAAAGGGGTGAGTTGTAGAGGTTTTATTTCCTCTTTCACTACTTCCCCTCTCGGCTTTGCTTTTTTTACTGTTTTACTTTGGATTTTTAATGGTTCAACAGAATAGAAAGAGAAGAGAGGTTGATGATTGGAATGAGTGATTTTAGATAGAAAAAGTAGGTTAAGAATTGGTGATGGAAAAAAAAATTGGGTCTGAGATTTTGATATGGTGAATTGGAGAGAAACAACAATCATTTTTTCTTTTTTTTTTTGGAGAAGAAAAGATGAGTTGATCGAGAGAGTTTGTGAGGAGTTTGGGATTTTTTTTTAAGAACCATGGAGATGACAAAAGGGAAGCTCCTCCTTTGACGGTTTTTTTTTGTGATTTCAACACGGGAATTTTTTTTCTTTTTTTGAATGGAGAAGTTGATTTGAGGATAAAGAAGGAAAAGAAAATAGAGGTGAATAGGTGGAGTCGTCGTCGCCGAAATTACCGGCGACGACGACGGAAGCAAAGAACTCTTTTAGGTCATCAAGAGCGGTGGCTCTGATACCATGTTGGAATATTGGAATATTAATATTGCTCATTAAATTATGAAGTACGTGATAGAGTGTATATAGGAGGGACTCCTAACACAACTAGGAATAGAGAATGGAAACTAACTAACATACAACATCTACCACAAATAGGATTAGGAAGATGACTAATAATGAAACACTACCATAACCAATACTACAAGAAGTACTATTAGTATTATTCTCTAACAGAAATCAAGGAGTATTGCTTGTCGTCCAAACCTTGAAACAAATAGGGAGTATTTGTTGCTGAGAAGGAATATTATCGATGTAAGTTTTTCTTTCAACGGTTTTGGCAAAGCAGTAGCCCAGCTTGGCGATCAATTCTTATCTACCGGCTATGGTCCAAGTGTTGAGAAGGTATTCTGGAACTAGAATTACAAACACGTCCTTGAAAATTTTTTGAAAGAGATGTAACCAACCGGGGAGATAGACGCAAATAGAGTTTGTAGTCAAATCACTTGTAGGATAAGCAAGCGAATTCATAAATATAATCTATTGAAGTTGAAGGTGTAATGTTTATAGTGATTTAGGGGGGTGTATTGAATTGGGAGTTTGTTGGATTTTTTTAGATTTTTAAAATCTGAATGTATTAATTTTTAAAAATCTTAAAAAATCTTGAGGTATTCAATAGGGATTTTTCAAAGTCTTTAAAAATATTGAAGTATTCAATTTAGATTTTCAAGAGTCTTTAAAAATTTTAAGGTATTAAAAAATCTATGAGTTTTAATATTCTATGGATTTTATTGGATTTTCTCTAAAAAAATGCTTACATTTCACTCCTAGAAATCTCTTCAATTTCCATGGACTTCCATGTTTGCACATACACATAGTTTTTACTTCCACTCCTCGTCTGGCTAGTCGTCTCTATTGCCTCTCGTCTCCCGGATCTGGATCCAGATCATCTACCTGTTCATCTTCCGATCACGACTGTCTGTACAATCTAGACTCGTGTGTCCGATCGTTACTCCAATCATCGTCCGTTGATCTGTCTACCTCTGTCCGAATCGTTCCGCCGTCCTTGGCTTGATCCGTTGCTCTGTTCGTTCTCTTTCTATCCTCCGTTCTCTGCTATTTTTTTGGTTTACAGTAACTTTGTGATTTGTGTGGAGAAGGTGATAAGGTCATTTGTCCACCTCTGCCTACTTGTTATGTCCGTGAAGTTATTTTTGCAAAAATTCTACACACATATTTTTCAAACTCTACATGAACTCTATAAAAATTTCTCACTCTACATGGATTCTACAAAAAATCAACCAAACTCTTCATGAATTCTACAAATTTTTCAAATCCACTAACTTTTTGAAATCTAAAAAAATCCAATAAAGTTCTAATTGAATACACCCCCCTTAGTGGAAGAGTTGTTACACATACGTGGGCCCTGTAGGCGTAAGAGAGTTACTCTGCACTGCGTAAACACTACTTGTGCACTGTTTATTGTATTTACTTTATATCCTGCGTGCATGAATGTGATGGAGAAAGTGTTATACCAATCTGTCTGTCATCTGTTTCTGTGACAGTGCTACCTCAATAGCCTGTTTGATTCATCTGTTTGCATAACTTATTCTTGTGAGTAATTTTCGTTGCACTCAGAGATATTTCAGTTGGTATCAAAGCAATTAAGATTAATTTGCTAGCTTGACCAGATCTATCAAAATGGAGATATTCAAGAAGGTGTCAACATTTTTGGGTATCTTCTTTTATACGGCCATGATCAATCGTTTTGGAGGTGTCGTATGGGAGGATTCTTCAAGTCTCTCGGTGGTCATGTTTGAAGAAGCATAGAGTTTGGATGGTCAACCACTATTATGACTGATGGAGATGGAGAATATATTCAAACTCTTAGGAAAGGTACTTCAAAAGTGAAAAGGATGCACCAAAATCCAACGAACAAGCTTTGAATGTAATATTTGGAATAGCTGATAGAACTTAATTTTGCCTAATCCCAAACTGTACACAGGCCAACAGAGCATGAGACATCTTGCTTACTACTCATGAAGGCACTAGAAAGGTAAAAATAGCCAAACTTTAGATTGTGATGTCTGAAATTGAAAATCTTAAGATTGATGGAATTAATTCTATCAAATGGTTTTATGAGAGAGTTAGCCAGTTAATGGATAAAGCTGAAAGACTTGATCTAGAATTTTTAGAAAACAATCTTGTGTTGAAACTTATACTTTCACTTCTAGAAAAATACTCTACTGACAAAAAAACTATTAGTCAAACACAAGATGTCAATGCTATGTCTCTTGATGATCTTATAGGGAACCTAGAAATAATTAAGTTGGAGATGCATGAAGACATAAAACGTAACCAACATCGTGTCATTAGTGTTGAAAAAGACACTACAAGAATTTGCCATTCCTGTGACAGAAATGTGCTACAGGCAGTTTTTTTCTTCAGTAATATTACACATCTCCTTTAAATCTATGTCACCATCAGATTCATCATCAATACAATATAAACATGGAAAAGCAAAGTCGTTTAAAAAAAACAAGAAATATATCTTGAAAAATAATAGCCTCCAGCGTGAACTTGCTGAGTAAAAAAAGACCGTGGAACAAATCACAATGGAGTTACAGAGATACAAGGTTAAAGTGATAGCAGGTGATGACAGAGAGGTTGACACAGCAGGAAAGTTAGCTATTCTCCAAGAGAAGTGGACAAAACTTCTTCAAGTCATCAAATAAAATGTCATGGAGAACCAACGCCTTGCTGCCAAATGAATTAAATCAAGGATGAGCTTTCAAAATCTCAAAAGAAGATTGAAGAATTAGAAGGGTGACATTTTAATCTCAAATACGAACTAAATCAACTTAAGAACTATCATATATGAATGAAGAGTGCTAGAGCAGAAGCTTTTGAAGGACAAGTAGATATCTCAAAATTCCATGGAGACAAGACTTGTCTCAATTTCTCAAGTGCCGAAAGAAAAAAGACACCACTTGAGTTGTTTATTGATTAGAAAAAGGAAGTTACTAAAGAAATCCCACAAAGGAAGAAAGTAGAAGCTACCAAACCTGTTGAAGCATCTTATGCAACACGAGCTGAAGTATCTTATGCAGCACTCTATGCAAAGAGGCATAGAGTTGTGAAGCAATTTAGTGTGAGAAGATACTAGGAAGTATCTAGCTAGGTCGAGAAAGCTCCTCAACTCTTGTGCATTTCTTGGAGTCTTCCACCCTGCGATATTTGAAATTTTACTTGAGTCC